ACGAATAATCTATTGATTTTTGATAAAGAGAGAAATTCTCTGAAATTTTGAATATCTTCTATATTGAATAAATATTCTTTTTCTTGTTGAGTAGTCGAGATAAAATCGTTTTCTAACACAATCAAAAATGATCTTTCGATTAATTAATTGTGAATGATAATTTTCAATAAAAGGTGATAATTGATATTCATCGAAAATAGACTAGGAATTCAATTAATTAATGTTGACGATGAGAAAATTTCATATCGAACATTTCATTGTTGTTCTTTTTCCAAAAATTATTTTTTTGAAGCTGTTTTATTTTCTATTGAATTGAATCAATTTTATCATTATAATGATTTGACATGAATGGTATCCATAGAAATTAGCAAATCCTATAGATAATCACGATAACAAAAACTTTAACCATGAGAAGTTCGTTTTACGATACAAACAAGTAGAAGAACATAATTTGCCTTTTCATTATTTTAAAATGAATGTCGTAGATAAGAAGAGTAACAAGTTTTTTATTTCTTTTTTCGGCTTTATTCGATCATATAAACAAAGAGTATTTCTAGATTTTTTTTTCTTCTTAATAAAAAAAGGTGAAATACAGAAGTTTATCATATAAATGATAAACAGACGAAGTCCTACAAAACCTTTTTCATTGTTAATTTTGAATATTTTAATTGTTGTAACGTTAGATGAGCTGCCATTGATAAAGAAATTTCTTCCTAAATTTATATATTTTTCCATATCATCTTGGGTATTTTAGTTTCTATTAATTCAGACTTTAATTACTTTGAAATTTAATGGTAAAATTGAATTTATTGCTTGTAGCTGATGATACTTAGTACAGAAAAATTGAATCGAAAATTTCTTTCTGAAAAGTAGTATCAAAATGACTCTAAACTCCATTGGTGAATTCAATGCAACAGATAGCGCACAGTTTACTATAAGTTCATTCTTATGAGATCATCTCGTTTGCTTTTTGGGAAGACTATTAGATTCAGATTAAAAAATTCCACTGAGGAATTCTGATAATGCTTTTCACATATCCTGTCACGTTGGTGCCATTCGTAATCTTCAAAATAAATTGAATTTATAATTAAATTTTTTAATTTTGGTAGACATGGTAATAAATCTGTTATCAATGTATGAAAACATATTGTTATTGCAGTATAATAATGATAAGAGATAGTTATGAATATAAGTCAGATACATGTATAGTATTAAAATAACTTACTTTCAATAACAACTGTTTCTAAATCGCTTAATGATTTTTGTCTTTCTACTAATTCAACCAATTTTAAATAAACATAATTTGAAAGTGTGTATCAATTACACTCACATCTAGTCCAATATGATATGAAATTTAACTTCAAATATTTTCATGATTCCATTTTTGAAAGATATCAAACTGCTACATAAGCCTAAATACAGAAAGTCGAATTTTTGTCACAAAGGTAATAAGCATTGGTATTCTTACGTTCTATGTCATGGCTTCCTTCCTTTTCTCTAGTGACTTCATCTAGGAACTTTAGTCGACTCTCCCTTACTAAATTCCCCAGGCAGTCGCAACGAAAATTCACCAGGGATTTGTAAGGCAGTTAGGAAGGTTCCCAGGATATTACAAGAGAGTGGCTTCGCAATAAAAAATGCAGCACATCAAATTTATCAGTTATAATATCACTGAGAGATTTACCTACCTATCTATCTACGGATCTATCTCTTGTTACATAACTACATTGGAAAAAATAGTTTTATTACGAAACTTATCTGAGCGCTCAGATCATGTAAGGTTTCCTATCGATATACCAAACTCTAAAAAATATCATGGAATCGTTTTCTGATCCTTTTTAGGCTCGGTCAATCGATATGAAAACTGGAAAGGATCTGGGCGTGGGCACAGATTTTGTATGAGCCCATTTCTCTACAGTGTACTTAGCTATCCATCTACCTACCTATATGGCTAGCTATTTGCTTACGTATCTACCTGATCATCGACTATTTACCTATCTATCTATCGACATATCTACCTGCCTACCTATGTATCTAGCTACCAATCTAACTACTTGTCATCCACCATATGATACTGTTAGAAGGAAAATTTCAGTGATAATATCACGGAAATATATTATGAACTCAATTTTTCTGTACTTTGTGGAAAAAATTGTACAAAAAATAACTATTTTAGAATTCCCTCATAGTTGGACTGCCTGGGGAGTTTGTACTTTTCTCCATTTTTCCCAAAGCCTAGGAATTCACTTAAAAATCTTCTGAGAACTCACTACGGACTTCCTGGGACTTTTTATCTTTTGGGATTCACCAGGGTGAATCAAGGTGATTTCCTGGGAATTCACTAGGGAGTTCATAATTTTTAAGGGACTCATCGGTGACTTCGCTGGTGAAAGTCGACTAGGGAAATTTATTCGCTTTAAACTTTGATATAATTTTGTTGTTTCATCAAATATTATAGAATATATAGGTTTTTAGCGTCTATGTTTGATAATGTTAATAATTTTAATTTAAAAAATGTCTCTTGAAACAAATCATCTGCTAATATTAAATTAAGTTTGTGTTGAACAGGAGATGCAATTGATAAAGGATAGTTTTGATTTGTTGGTATCAATCGCTTTAATTGAAAACAAAATGTTAAAAATTTTCTAGATGAAATTGAAGATAAATCAATGTGAACTTTTGTTTCATATTGAATTAATTAGTTAAAATACTGATTTAAACCATAAAATATTTCATATAAATGGTAGAAATCAAAATAGTGGAAACACCTTAGTATCAACTCGTTCGGTAATTGTTCAAATTTTGTCATTGGAGTTGTGCTTACCCTTAAACTGAAGAAAATATCAAAGAATAACAATAATTAATATTCCAACTTCATCTTTTCCTTTAACAAATATTCATTTAAGACTTGTTTGTTGAACTATATTTCGAAGACTTACTTCAGCAATATTAAGTACTCCAGCGACCGACGACGACATTCAATCACTAAATAATAACTAGACAATTGTATTGGCCTCATATCATCATCTTTCAAAATTCGACCTCGAAAGTAATTACACTGTTTGTTTTCATTTCAAATATAATTCNGTTTACCTCATAACTTTTGAAGGGAACAATAAAAAAGTCTGAAACTTTGGATTTATAGGTTTCTACACATGGGCTTTCGTTTCCGATAATAAAAAGGGTAGGTCAAAAATTCGAGAGTATGGCCTGTGGTAGCAATGCTCGATGCCCTCATGGACCGTCTCTTAAATATATATCGGGTGAAGTATGAGTGTGGTTGCTACTTGGCCTACAGTTCATATCCTCCCCATATTCACATGCAAAAGAGGAAGTCAAATAGAACCTTGATTGTAAAATAATATTTTTCTTATCATTTATAAGTTAATCGAAACTTGAAGTGCAGCTGAGGGTGAAGGTGTAAGTCTGGCTACTACCCAGTGGAAAATTTTGCTGATTAAATGCGATTAAAATTTCAAAATACTATGGTAATAATCGGATTGATAACTTTGATTAAACTGAAAGTGCTAGAAGAGAGTTCGTGAGAGCATTTTGTGAAACACGATTGGTAATGAGTGTTGAAGTATAATGGTAGAAAAGTGAACCATCTCTGTCATCCTGCCCCATAGACGGTGACAGACAGAACAGATAAACTTTTCTAGCATCACAGACCGCGACAGACGTTCAAAATGACCATTTCGGTCATGAGGAGAGAAGGCAATTGCTTCTCCATCTAAAAGTTTTGGATAGGCTCGATGATTATCCTGGCACCAGAGACCACGACAGACATTCGAAAACCGATATTGGCCTGTCGTGTTTCACATTTTAATCCCGCAGAGATTGCTATAAAAGCTTTTTCTGATTGAGCACATTTTTGTTCGAAGTAGATTATGATTTTCGCCTGGCAATTATAGACATTGAAGTCAAAATAGTTACTTGAAATTATTGACTCATTTTGTACAATGTGCTCATACAAAGTATTCATTCAGAATAGTTTCGATTGTTCGGTTTCATATAAACTTGAAGGCGGTTACTTTTCAACTTTGAGCAATGTTTACCTACATGGATAAGCGTTAGCCGCCATTGTATTTTGTTCTGTCGTTACCAGTCTGTGTCAACTATGTATTTTTGATGGCTACATCATTTACTTTGTGTTTCTGTAGGGTATGAGCAGTAAGAAGATGACTTCGAAATAAAGATACAGACTGCTTTTTTAATAGATATTTGCAAACTATGAATGTATTAGAGATATTTTCAGTAGTTTAGGCGAGAATATCACGATAAATCCTACTGGTTGACTTCTTTGATTATTCATGTTCCTTTTCACATCGTTAAATCCTTCGGAAAAGGTTTCTACTTTGTCATGAAGCAAAAAAATTCATCCAGTTGAATTTTTTCTTCAAGAAACTAAACATTTTTTATTATTTATTTTCGAACAATTTGCCTCCATAAGTATCATTGTTTTTAGTCGCATTTTCTTCAAGATAGTTTCTTTTTCATGATGCATCCTTCACGACATGACAGTAGAATACCCCTCAATTCACAGATATTAGTATGGCATGGTCAATACATTTACGATTATGGAACATTATTAGAAAATTGAAAATGACACGAACCTATGACAAACGAAACTGCCACTAAGTTATCGTCTGACTGATTAAGTAGGATTGATCTAAACTGTTTTAAGCATACAATTATTCAATATTGCCATCCCGTCTTCTTCGAAATCGATCTCACGGATGGAAATGATGCTCTGAAAAATATTTTTGTATTCTTGCTTTTGATGTATTTGCCGTTTTAGGAAATTATTTACGGAAATTATATGAGTCTACAATGCCTCAGTTTCGATCGTTAGTATGATGAGTTCAATGAAGGGTAAAGATCTTTTTATTGTAGAATGAACTTTTAAATATATGCATGCTTTGAGATTATTATTCAATTGATCTTTAATATTGAAAAGAACTTCATGAAAGTCTTTTTTCCTTTAGTCCGTCTATTTTTCACTTTGGCACAACAGTGTACTTGATAAGCACACCAAAGAATGTCAGTTTTGGTGGTGCTTCAAATTTAAGAACAACTTGATAATTCGAATCTGATTTAGCCGTAATTATATTCCCGATGGGTTGAAGTTCAGTCGATCCTTGTGGAGATACTTGACAAACACGTGAGATTGCTAACTTCATTTGTTCATTTTCCAGACGAATAGAAAAAGGTTGACGCTTTTGTGAAAATGGTGTTTCGATGGTCACTATCAATGTATTCATTGGATAACTCCAAAAGATTGACCCTGACTTGCAGGATGCTAGCTTGGATTCGGCTAAATTGAGCGTTGATTTTTGGCATGAAGAAGGAGTACCGACTCTAATATCACATGTGCCCTGATCAAAAAAATTAGCTTTGCATACAGCATTGCTCACCGGTGCTGCATAAGTAATTGTACCAGTAAATACTGCGATGAAGAGAAATGTTAATGAGAGTGAAGAGAACATTGTATTGATGAAAATACTAATAGATCGAAGAGAATACGGAGGAGATATATGTGTCTCAGTTTGATGTTCTGTATTTATACAATTGATCGAATAAGTATAGATATTATTCCCATAGACAATGTGGGCATTATGAGAAATGGGAAAAAAGTATTCACTCCATTCACCTACGTATATCGTCATAGGTGAAAGCTATTCACAATTGGATTTTTAACCAGTTATATATATGATTCATGTGAAACGGCTCATGTGTTTTTCGTGACTATGTCGTCATATTTTTAGTTCTTCATACAGAACGCCACGAGGATGGTGTTGCAATAACGATGATGATCAGTTTTTGTACATATCTGTTGTTTTGCATCGGTCATCTTTTACCCAAGGTGGTTTCACTCATTGAAGAATGGTCGAATAACAACTGAAAACACTAGAAGAGATTCTATTTGAAGTGGCTTTTGATTTACACCAGATAAATTAAGGAAATTAATGATGAAATTTATTAACGTCAAAAGATATCATTTATTGACGCTAAACTTATAATCATGTATTATCAGTTATTTAATTCTGTTCGATTTTTTTTATTATTCATTTTATTATGGCTGCCTCTCGTGACTCATAAATCTCAAACCTTCACGGTCTGAACCTTTTATGATTTGAATTTGTCGTTGCAGTCTTGTTAAGACACGATCCTACAGTGATCATATCATTATCCTCTGCTAGAACATCAACAGAATAGAAAATGATCTCAAGTTTCAAAGATTTTTTATAATTTCTTCATTAAAGAAAAGATTTTTTGCGTGAAATTGTATTTAATTGTTGATGTCAAAAGTGTTGTTAAAAAAAACAAATATGGAAGGTGCAAAACAAAGTGAAGGAAAGATAGAACCATTTCGCAGATCTTGTTGGTCTCAAACGAATGAATTCATTTTGATTTCAACACCATTCATTCTTTATTTATTTTAGATTATCTTCTATTTTTATTTTATGAATTAATCGACGATTTTAAGAGAGGGTCCATGAATCCACCACCGAAAATAGCAGCGGTCGATTGACGAAAAATTTTAAACTTTGAAATGCGTTTGCTAGTTTGAAAGAGCATAAAAAGTTACTCAGAAAACCAAATTTTTCCAATTTTTGGGCAAAGTCTTCGAATATTTCTGCGACCTATAAGTTTTGACTCAAACTATTGATCTATCAAAAACTATAGTTTTTCGATCATTTTGTTTATGAAATTTTTGATCTCAAAAAATTGATCAAAACCATTATCAAATTATACCAATCGATAGAGCAGAAGCTGCTCTACAAAACTTTATATATCCTAAATGTTATTATATGTCTTCTAAAACGAAAAAAATCAATATAATACGTGAAATCGACCTTTTTTGTTCTATTTTACATGCTGGATTTTACCATTCTTGCTCTTGTTATGCAGTTATTTTTCAAGAGCCTAAGATAAACTTTACATGGTTTTGTAGAGCGTCAAAAGACGCATCTTTTGATAAAAAAATATTGGTTTTGAAATACTCACAACATCCGGAAAATTCCATGACAATGCTGCCTAGTAAAGAGGATTGAAAATAGTTTTTTGTCGTCGTTCTATTAGAAGTCCATGTAGCTCGATAGAGCTTAGTGTGCTGATTACAGATATCAGATTTTTTCTCAAAATTAGTCGGATAATAAGGAATATCTGAAGCACTTTCTGAAAGTCCTGAGAACAGTTTTTCACTTGGAGATCGAGGGAAAACCGATTGAGATCCGTTCAAAATAGACTCGTTCGATGCAGATTTTTTTTCTCTATTAGAATCTCTAAGAACATTTAAATATTGAAAACTATTTCTGTCGATAAATGCTAAGTACCACCCCAATTGCGTCATATTGTTACAAAGAATGACTTTTCCTCATTTGCTAGCTATTGTTTATACGGGTGCACTATCGTGATTTTTCTATGGAATACGTAATCTAATGTGCTCTTTCTGATGACTCTATTTTCAACTTGATATTCGATGTATAATAAAGCAATTTTCCCTAACTGCTATTCTTCATAACCAATTGTGTCTTTTTTGACTGATATTCGACCATTTTGGCACAGAGTAATCTCCGATTGACTTCAAACACATATCATGTTTAGAATCAGCATAAAAAGCTGAGCCGATTTATGTATGTTTCATACCATTTTTACGACTTTTTTTCCGATCAAATTTTGATCCCTGCTCCCCTCGAGGATTGTCGAAAAATAAATTTCATCAGGACCTAGTTGAGGTGGTATTTAGCATTTATCGACAGAAATAGTTTTCAACATTTAAATGTTCTTAGAGATTCTAATAGAGAAAAAAATCTGCATCGAACGAGTCTATTTTGAACGGATCTCAATCGGTTTTCCCTGGATCTCCAGGTGAAAAACTGTTTTCAGGGCTTTCAGAAAGTGCTTCCGATATTCCTTATTATCCGACTAATTTTGAGAAAAAATCTGATATCTGTAATCAGCACACTAAGCTCTATCGAGCTACATGGACTTCTAATAGAACGACGACAAAAAAATATTTTCAATACTCTTTACTAGGCAGCATTGTCATGGAATTTTTGGGATGTTGTGAGTATTTCAAAACCAATATTTTTTTATCAAAAGATGCGTCTTTTGACGCTCTCCAAAACCATGTAAAGTTTATCTTCGGCTCTTGAAAAATAACTGCATAACAAGAGCAAGAATGGTAAAATCCAGCATGTAAAATAGAACAAAAAAGGTCGATTTCACGTATTATATTGATTTGTTTCGTTTTAGAAGACATAAAATAACATTTAGAATATATACGGTTTTGTAGAGCAGCTTCCGCTCTATCGATTGGTATAATTTGATAGTGGTTTTGATCAATTTGTTTAGATCAAAACTTTCATAAACAAAATGATCGAAAAACTATAGTTTTTGATAGATCAATAGTTGGAGTCAAAACTTATAGGTCGCAGAAATATTCGAAGGCTTTGCCCAAAAATTGTAAAAATTTGGTTTTCTAAGTAACTTTTTATGCTCTTTCAAACTAGCAAATTCATTTCAAAGTTTTATATTTTTCGGCAACTCGTTTGTGTGGTGGTTTTATGGACCCTCTCTTAAGAGTGCTATATATAGCAACTGTACTAAGGAAAATTATCAACGGCTCATCTCTGGCATTATGCATTTGGGCTTGCAGGAAAATTATTTTAAAGACTGAGATACATCTTCGGGTCATTTCGAGAAAACTGAGCCAATATCTCGGAGAAAAACTTTTTTTAATCTTTAAGATACTCAACACACGTTGAAATCTATTTTAGTGATTATTAGATTATCAAAACAACACATAGCACCACCATAAGCGAACCTTCCGTCATATATTGATTGAATGTTGCCAAATGGCAACAGCCGGCCGGAAAGCGTCAAGAAAGATCTGAAAATTAAAATAAAAACATAAAAATTTTAAAAAAATTGAAAAATCTAAATTTAAAAAAAAACTGAATTTTTTATAAAATGAAAAGTTAAATTTTACTTGAAGAAAAATGAACTTCATTTTTTATGTTTGTACATAAAATTCTATTTAAAATGAAACTTCAATTCTTCTAATTAAATTTTGAAATAAACTTGATATTGATATCTCTATTGTATTCTGAAAAGATTTCCAAAAGTGTGAAGAAAAATTTTTGTTCAGGCGATAAATTAATTAACATATTAAACTGCATCACTAAATTCAATTCATGTATTCTCTGTAATATGTGTGTGACTAATTGATCGGTCACCAAAATCGACACATTCCATATCAACGTAGTTATAATTTTAACATTTGCTTGATTCACTACATGTTTGAAAGTAATTTATTTCAGAACTCAGGTCCATAATTCATGTGTTAAAAGTTTTCATAAAACCAATCTTAAAATTGATTCATGAATGCTCTTACTTGAGAATTAGTATACTATATTCTATTGCTCTCATGAAAACAAGTGGATTTACAAACTGAAACGTATACAATGGATTAATGCCATTTTGTAAATTCTATAATAACAGAAAGTATGAAACAGTGGTTCGCCTGATTTGGCCTGCAGACCAGGTCAGGCTAAAAAGCAATGGCCTATTGACCGCTCTGATACAGTCTAATTACATTTCATTCAGGAGGAAAGGACTCTATTATGTCGATTTGAAACGAATATGAAACTATCCTTTGATTTACTTGCTTTGAATATGATCTAATAAAACTGTTCAACGAATTTTTCTTAGCTAAATATTGGCAGCATGGATCAAGTTGTTACTTTTTAAAAGAGAACAGCTAGCTAATGTTTTATATTCATATCGAGAAACAAAAAATCCTTCTATTATTCGCTATGTATAGATCAAGAAATTAATTCGATTGATATGAATCATGAACCAGGTTGAATACATGTTAGTTAGTTATATTCGGAAGACTTTATGATGCACGTAGTCGAAGGTAATTTTATTCTAATTGTACGAAACACTCGATAATTGATAGACTGAGTTTCATGAACTTCGTTTTCATTCGATTTTACA